AATGTGCGAGTTATAATTATGTCTCATTCTGAAAGCTTTTGATTATTTTTTAGAATTTCTCAAAAACTGGTTTTGCAGAAAACCGAGACTTCAGGAGCCGTGGGCCAAAATCCTTTTAGGCTTTTTACCAGCTCGATGTGCTCTAGAAACGAGGTATGAATGAAGGAAATCGGAGTTGGGCACCTGGGGCGGTTCCCTCGTTAGTCATAGGAATATGATCTTTACAGTGGTATTATACTTTATTAAACTTCTTAATCTAACCACTTCTACTCAATCATTTATATTAAAATCAGATCTGATGGAAACGCTAATGAACAGTAAGTGGTGTGCTCCATTAATGTTAAAATTTTATGATATATATAATTTCCGTTCATATTAGCGATAAAGCACATGTTACATCTGAAGATAATTAAAATAACAGCAGTTTTGACCGTTTTATATCTATTTCAGTCATAAACGTAGACGTTTCGCTGTTTTGAACAGCATTTTCAAGACAATAGTGTAAAAATGAATCTGACAAGATTATTATTTATTCTCCAGCTCAAATTATTGTCCATTACACAAAACAATTATACATTTGAAGATATGGTTAGGATCGTAAAATTATCTAAATAACCGAAATAATAAAAGTTCGAGCAAACATATCACCGAATCGAAAAATTTTAAAAGCTTGTTCGGTCAAAACCGATTGTAGATTCGTCTTCTCTATGGTTGATTATGTGTTATGCAATAACTTTTGGATCGGGGTACTTTAGAAAAAAAATTTCCATGGTCTTGCTCAAAAATTTTTCAAAAAGTTACCGTATGGGATCAAAGGCAAAACGATGTCGTAAAATTTTTCTAAAGTACCCTGATCCAGAAGTTATGGCGTACCACATAATCAACCATGGAGAAGACGAATCTGCAATCGATTTTGACCGAACGAGCTTTTAAAATTTTTCGATTTGGTGTTCGATATATGTACTGGTATCAGTATTGCACCAACGACGATAAAATATGTTGAAAAACTAAACACATGAATGGTAGTAATTATTATAGCTTTGTCTCCTTTTTGAACGATCATATTTTGTCTCCATCAGCGTTTAATAAACCATAGAACATCCGGAAATGCTAACAGATAAAAGTATGATCGATGGGTCTTGTTTAAAAATACATATTAAAATAAAATCATTATTAGATAATCAATGTTTGTAACAAAATGTCCAACAGATGGATATTTGAACCTGGTCTTAATGCATTCTACATTTCATTACATGATTAACGTATTTATCGCAATATAATTGATACTAAATATTTTCTCCTTTTAATCTAGATATTTTAGAAGTTATTTTTTTTTGTTTCTTGTATTTTGAACGTTACTTAATGTCGAATTCTAGGTACTACGACCACAAGTTTCTTTTTTCTTTTTTTTTGAAAATAAAATATAATATAGCCAATAAAAAACACGTTAACGAAAACAAAGAAAAAACTGTTATATTGTTTAATAACTGATTCAAATTTAAGTTCATAAGGTTGTTCGATGAATCGTGCAAAGCTTTGAGCAATTTACCGAGATTATAGACGAAAATGTCCAGTAGATGAGTGAAGTTCGAATATAATAAAAGAGAGATTATTCTGTTTTAAAGAGATGGATAACAAGCAAAGAACAAATGAAGTCAGATTTAACGCTTGTGAGTTTTTAATCAATGCAATGTTACGTCACGCATAGTGATAAAAAAGAAACGCCTAATACTATTCCTTAAAATTTTATATTATAAATCGACTCAAATGTAAAAAATGAGGCTAAAAGTCAGTTGAAACTCTATATGCTCTTTTAGTTTATTATTAGAATCACAATATGATGAAGCATTGGGTCGACTGTGTTTGACGAACAGCTGCAAAAATTCAGACTCTAAAAATTAGTTTTTCATTTTTGCTGAATAGAGCAGGAGTGAGAAAATCATAATCTGTGCGTGTTTGTCAATACTTAATAAATATATATATAAGCGAATATGCATATACTTTTGATCTAGAAACAAATTAAACGAGCTCAAGTTTACTTACTCTCAGTCGCTTTTCCAATATAAATTTCAATTTACGATGATGAAATCAGTTCTATTAGTGCTCGTTTTTGCTGTTGCATGTAGTGGACAACTTACAACGGATTTTCTTGAAAACAATATTCTAAAGCCCTTGTTAGACGATATATATAATAGTAAGTAACGAGACAATATTTTTTACTTCGCTATAAAACATTTTTATCCTCAAACAGATGCTATTGGTATGCTCGGACAACAACTTACTCAATTACTCGGGAGTCTCTTTGGAAAACGTTCTGCTGTTGAGAGAATCGATATTTTTCAGGTAAAATAGTCTCTATTTCTCCAATAATAGTACTTTGTTACAAAATTTAAGTTATCTTTCAGATATTGGCCCCATACATTGAGCAAGTGAAAGCAATTTACAAACAACTTTTCAGCAAATTTGAACAAATTGTCCAACATATTGCTTCAGTTAGTACATACTCTATATTAGAAAAACTTGATTTTATATGTAAAATTCTCTTTTAGTACGTCAATAAACCTGATTTTGCACGAATTGAATTTGTTTATGCTGGTATTGATGCCGAACAACAATTAGCTCGATTATCGCTTCCAAGCAATGTAAGTAAACTATGAAGAAACTATATGATATATTATCGAATTAAGCATAACTAGAATAATAACGAAGAGATATCTGTATACTTTACAAAAATATTCTGACATCTCTCTGTAAAAAGAAAACAAATATGTACTTTAGCAGAATACTGTGAACTATTTGCAATGTAGACAAAAGAAAATCTGATTTTGTATGTCAACGTTTTTTTTCAGATATTTGGACCAATACTCGCTTTGGTTCAACAACATTTGAGTGCTGCTGTCACACAATTAGAAAATGCTTTAGGTAGCATCTTTCAAACACTACAGCCAACAATTGGTACTGGTAATTTATTGCCATAAAACAGTAAACATCAACAAGAAATGTATATTGTCTTAATTATTTATCATTTCTTGTGTAAATTGAACTTTTATTTATAAATAAAACATCAGCCTGAGATAGTTATGGAAAAGAATTATTGACATTTTCTAAAATGAACTTTTTTAATATGTTAACATATTAACCGATAGAGTCCCCCAGACGAACTAGATATGCTTTAATTAAACTGAATAGTAATATTAATTAGTCTAGGCATAAGTGGTAAAAAAATATAAAGA